CAAAAACTTAACTAAAAATACTTCGTCCTAACAATTTGTCTGAATTGGCAATTATTGTAAACCTTTTGCAAATGTATATACGACTGTTAAATAAATTTTGATCAACAAATTTATGGGGGCAGATCAGTTATCAAATTTTTAATTTCTGAGGACCTCATGATTTAATTATAATATGACACCACTCTCATATGTTTGTAACACATATAATATTGGACCCTTCAATGTATTACAGTGGCGCTCTTTAGTAACACGAATTCACATCAATAGAGAGAGTTTTTAGTTTTTTACATATCGTAAAAAAAGATATGATAAAGTTAATCATACCAGTTCGTTTATCTTCATTTGTTCCTAAATCAATAACAATTCAAAAACAGTTAGTTAAGCAGTATACCATTAATTTTTTATTGCAAAATTCTACAAATTCGGCATTGATCACAAAAACAAGTTTAGTGTGTGTCCCTAAAGTTTTTTCAATTGTAATTATATAAAAACTAAAATATTCCTAACTTCATTTTATTAAATTTAAATATTGAAGAAAGCCACAATGATAAAAAGTAGTAGTAATGGATTTATTTCAACTTCTTTAAGTTTAAATGAAAATAATTCAAACAAAACATCACCGTCATCAAATCCAGAGGATTCAACATCAAAAACACTTAAATCAAATAGTGTGGAGAATTATTGGAATGATGTTGAAAATTATACACGCATAACAGGTAATCAATATATATGAATTTTTAATTAGTAAATTTATTCAAAAAATTTATTATCAATTTACTAGGATTTCCCCCTCGTAAAAAAATTAATGACCTCACAGATTTAGAGAATATGCGTAAACTAATAACAGAAACAATTTCTAGTAAAGCCAATGTGGGAGATTTATTGCCATGTATGAAAGCGAAAGAATTTTGTGAAGTTTATGAGAATCTTGATAAAGTAAACAAGTTTATGAAGCTAATCGATTGATTTGATCTTTTTTTGAAGAAGAATAATAGTTATTATTTGCTAAATATCATTTTTATCAATGATTTATTTATACTTAGCAAAATAAGAAAAATCTCTTGAACATTCTTGCTCGAGATTTTGGTAAATGTGATTTTTTTTAATGTCATAATGAAGGGAAAAAATCAATACTTTTTCAATGAAATACTTATTCTATACTTACAAGATAGCTCACTTAAGAATTTATTTATAGGTGTCCCAAGAGAAGAGGCCATCAAATCAGCAACTAGTTATATTCAAGTATCTGATATACATGTAATTAATAATAATAATAATAATAATAATATATATATATATATTTAAAGCAAAGAAAACTTTTTTGTTAGAATACAAGAGCAGTATTTCGAGCAGAACAAATACTTAGACATACATTGACACCAGTTTATAATGTATTTTTTGATCGAGTAAATCAATTACCTGATGGAACAAAATTTTTAATTGATATGCGGGCTGATTTACTAGTATGTTTTTATCTTTTTCTACTCCCCATTTCCCATTATTATTATTATTATTAATTAATAATTAATAATTAATACAATTTTTTAACAAAAGGAAATTATTCATGAAGATAGTCATGAGATATATTTGACAGCCTTAAATGAATCATTAAAAGAAAAATTGACAACTTGGATATTGGGATTTTTAGATCTTAAAAGAATTACATGGTATTCACATAGAACGGTATTAGAAAAGGTCAATATTACCACTATAGTCATATTATTAGATAATATTCATTCTAAAAAAATTATCAGATAATTTTAAATTGAAATTATCTTAATGATTAGCTTAAGAATTATGAAGCAGTTCATTCTATAAAAGACTGGGATGATTTCAAGAGGTAATTTTAATTGATTGATTAATTATTTGATATATATTTAAAATAATTTTTTTTAAAAGGATAAATTATTATTCATATTTTTAGACGTGTTGGACCTGGTAAATTATTGTCATAATAATAATTATAGTAGTATAATAATTGTTTAGTTAAAATAAAACAAATTATTTTTTTAATGAATATAGATCGACGCTTATTTGCATTTTTTTTTCGTGGAATGCCTCATGAACCACTTGTATTTATAAATGTGGCATTAAAAAATGAACTTTCAAATAACATTCAGGTAAGAATAAAATTATCATAATACATACATATACATACACGGATAAAATCTCTCATCACACATATATATATAAATAGGAAATATTGGAAGAACCAGAGCCAGATCTGATGTCATCATCATATTTTCATGAAATAAAACATGCAATATTTTATTCTATCACCAGCCAACCAGGCCTGTCTGGTATAGAATTGGGCAATTTTTTAATTAAAAGAGTTGTTCGAGTATTACATAGTGAGTTTCCAAGTATAGAAACCTTTTCAACATTAAGCCCCATACCTAGATTTCGTAAATGGTTAATTACAAGAATTAATATAGAAAAAAATGGTATATTTATTAATAATGAGGAAGGTCAAATTAAATTTTTAAAAGTTTCTTTGAAGCAAAATGATTCATCACCATTGAATATTAACAAAGAAGTGTCAGAAAAGTTTAAAGAAATTCTTAGTACAAGAGATTGGATTAATGATGAAAAAATTTTCTTTGTACTCAAACCAATATTATTAAGGTTATGCGCAAGGTATAATAATTTATGGGTTTGTAGGTCATGAACTATGGGTTGTGGATTGTAAATATATGTTATATTAATATTTACATGAGTAATTATTTATATATTCACATACTAATAATTTCATTTGTAAAGATATATTCTTACAGAAAAACATAGGACTTTTGCACTTGATCCTGTTGGTAAGCAATAGTTTTGTATTTAGAAAATTTTTGATGATAACCAATTAGACAAAAGCAATTGCTTAAAATTCAATACTTTGTAATATTACAATAATTAGCCAATTTCCATATACGTAATGGTGCTTGTGTTCATCGTTTGAATTGGCTTGGAGATGTTTCAGGTAGATTTTTACATTTTTTTGAGTAATGAATTGTTAGGTTTGGATAATTATTCCTTCAATGAACTCACATTAATATAAATATATGCATATTATGTAGAGAAAGGACTCAATGAATCATTTGGAATGATGATAAATTATAATTATTTTCTTGATTATATTGAAACTAACAATCAAAAGTACATGTCAAAAGGAACTATCACATTGTTAGATGAAGATCCTGTTTTAGTTGAAGAAGCAAAAAGAGAAAATTCCAATATTCATTTAATTAAACCAGGAGAAATTTGAAATTTATTTTTTAAATAATAATAAAATTTTTTTGAAATTTATTTATTTTATATATTTATAAAATGTATGTACGTATTTACATATATATATTAATAATAAAAGATATTATATTTAAAGGCAATTAACTAATTGATGTTTTTTTCTAAGTAGCTAATCATTAACTAGTTAAATTCTTCTGACTGGAGGAAACTTCCATTGTATCTTGTATATTGGAAGTGTAAGAAGAGTGGAAGTTTTTCAGTACACAGGATTTGTTTTGATGGAGAGGATATTAGAGGCACCATCAATTGCAAGACAGGAGCATTTGTACCTCTGGATTTAATTGTGTAGCCACCACGATTGAAGAAAATACATGCAGGGTTGACACATTCTACTGCCTGTATATATTGATGGTCTTACTCTTTTCTTCAATGATACACCAAGAACAAACTAACCATGCTTGTTGAAAACAATACAAACAAGTTTGAGAAGGTTTATCAATATTCGTTGACCATGCACACAGGACAATATCTCATATTCTATTATGCATTTTTGCCACTGTTTATACCCATTTCCTATGGATTCAATAAACATTAACTGGATGGATACTTTTCAAGATCTCAGGTCTTCAACAAGATGTATGCATTTAGATGAGAGATGTGATGGAGATGGAGATTACATCCATTACAGGAGAAATAGTTGACATTTCATCCTTTCACTAAAAAAAATAATTTTATGGCAGATATATATAGCAATTGATAAAAAGTATGAAAAAATACCTTTTTTCTTGTATGTTCCTCAATATACCTCCTTTCAGTTTGCCCAACTTGGCCCAGACAGAGAGATTTATTGTAATTTATTGGAAACTCAGATATTCTTGAGCTTACTTGTGGGAAGCATGAGCATTATCAACATTGCACATTGAATGTGCAGTTTTGAGTAAGTTTTCCTTTCTGGCAAGATCCTAGCTTATCTTACATTTTCCAGTGATTATCCTTCAAACAATTTTCACATTGCTCGATGCTTCTCCTAGTATGATTGATAATAAGTGCTGTGACCTTGATATCAAGAAATTTGGTAACAGTGACAAGTTCTAAAATTGCTTCAGTTTTTCAAAAGTGTCTAGTACTTATTAATATGTGCCTGAATTTCATTATTGAGATAGCATAATCCTGAATTCAACATAACAATTAACTATTTAAATATAAAACAATTACCAATAGGGCTTGAGAACAAGTTTCAACTTGATAAACCAATCAAATAATAACTAAAACCATTCACTGGCAGTTCTTGATCCAATCTGATCTACCAAGTTAGTTATCTATCATGGTTAATAAGTTCATATATTTCACATGTATTTTTTACAACAAAAATATTACATTTATCACCAATCAAATATTTATTAAACTGTTAATAAATCAGTTTATTAAGAATGAAAAAAAACAACTTATAAACAAAATCATATAAATCTTCACCAAACTATCTTATACACAGGGAATCCTGATTTAGTGGACCTCAATTTAGCAGATACTAATTAAAAATCTTGGTTTTACAGAAATAAAAACCTTCTTGATATAGTGGATATCTTGGTTTAATGGATTCTTGGATTTTTGGAAAATTTTCCCTAATTGCCCAAATTATCTGCTAAATCAGGATTCACTGTGTAAATGGATTGTTTTATATAAATTCACAATTACTACTTTTTATTCTTTATGATATTTTCCAACATCTCACTATTTTTTCATCACATATTGCTCAGCTTAAAAATTATCCATTTTTACCTCCCATATAAAATTTAATATATATATTAAAAAAATTCTTATTATATACAATATTTATAAGCAAAAAAAATGTTTAAATTTTTTTGTTGTGATATAAATTTTAATATTACCACCAATTAATTACTAAAGATTATTACTATTTTTAATAGCAAAAAGAAAAAATAAAAGGAAATGTAAGGTGATAATAAACTAAGGTAAGAATTGTGTGTATGTATAAATTAATTTCTTTTTTTGTTTTAATCATTATTGATTTAGTGAAATATTAATGAATGAATTGATTAATTATTTGTAAATTTACTTCTTTTTTTTGGCCTAGATGATGATGATTGTTGCCCATCATAATTGGTTGACTCAGTTTTGTATAACACATCATTTGATGCTAATGGTGTAGATGAAGATGAAGTGACTAAGTATTCAGATTCCATACCATCAACAAATCTTTTTAAAGTGTCATAAACTTTATTATTAAATCGAATGTCATCATGTTTCTGACGGACATGTTTTTTCATGGCTAACAGACGACTTTGATAATGGGAGATTAATAGACCAGGATATTTTGCAATCATATAAGTTAGGAACACAAATTCCACAGGAGCCAATCGATTATCTTTATGAAATACATCAGAATTATCAGCTATCATTGCTTCAAGTGTTTGATAAATTCTTTCTGCAATGATTTTTAAATTTGAGGGTACTTGACGTTCTTCCTTTAAGAATTTGGTTATGACAGCAGGTGTTGCATTGAATTTTTCAGGTTCATTCTCAATCATATGTAATGATTGTGTTATCAATTGGAATGGCCTAGCACGTTTAGTATCCATTATAAGTGAAATACTAGGATATTTGCTGAAAATGGAGTGAGCAAAATCAGCCATTGGACTACTGATTGCTTGTAATTTTTCAGCTGGTGTTAATGCAACACCCAATTGGACACGACTAAAAATTTCCTGTTCTTGCTGTAATGAAAGGTCATAATACTCAACTACAAAATAAGACAATGTTAGATGGTAATGATTTTAGAAGACATATATGAAATAATTATAATTATATAATCATATAACCATAAAATTACCACAAAGCAATTCAGAACAGTCAAATAACTCTCGTTCTGGTTCTGTCAATGTCTTTTTGCCATTGACATTTTTATAGTACCTTTTAGCTACATTGCCATCAGAAGGGCTTACATGGGGAATTTCACCTTCCATAAATCTATTATTTATGAATATATATGTGAAATAAAGGGATAGATGTGTAGTTTTAGTGAACATGGCAAGTTTTCAAAGATTGATAATTAACTGATAATTGATTCACTAAATAATCACTACTTACTTTTTGATGGCAGTTAACCTTTGCTTCCCATCTATGCATACTCTGATCCATCTTTTGTTATCTAATTTTTTACAAGAAAAAATTACTGGTGGAACATAAAAGTTGTTAAGAACAGAATCTACTAAATGAGATTGTTTAATTGCTACCAAAAAATAATTTTATTTATTAGATATTATAACCAATATCAACGGATAATATTGTATTAATTAAATAATAGTTACATGTCCATACAACATCTATGTGGCGCAGTAAATTAATAATAAGAAAAATTTATTATATATATTGTTTGATATTTAGTAAAATATAATATATATACATTTATACATATATTAATAATAGTCTAAAAGGCTCTTTTACCTCTTTGGAATTCAGGATTAAGGTCAATTATTCCCATTTGCAACCAGTTGTATAATTTATATAAAGTATGGGTAACATTCCTTGGTTTAGTAAGTGCTTCTTCCATGGTTGTGAAAAGTGTAAGTTTATGGTATAAAAGAGAGAAAGAGAAGGAATTTTTGTGGAAAAAAATTTTATTTATTTATTTATTTATTTATTTATTATATTATATATTTATAAAAAAATAATATTTTTTATAAATAAAAAATTTAAAAATTTGAAAAAAAAATATTTAATAAAAATTTTCTAAAAAAAAAAAGGATGAATTTTTTTTAAAAAAAAAAAAAAAAGAATTTGAATGGAATTTATATACAAATTATTAATGATTTCAGTATATTATTAATTTTTTAGCCAAATTTGATATATCTTATTTAATTGAATTATTTGGATTGATTATATATTTATTTTGGTAATCAATAAAGGTTTTACCTATTTTAAACCATTAAAAACTCCGAAACTCCGAATAAATATCCATAATGAGTTTGTTTGTTATTATTTATAATAACCCAAACCAATTGTGCAACATCAAATTCATAAATGAATTGGGTTACCTATTTCATAAATAACAAAATGAAATTATTTTATAAAATTGTATATATTTATTTATTTTTGCTTTAAAGCTTAGTAGCAACAATAATAAACACCAAAATAACAATAGATAAAAAAATTGGTTTTTATTGTTTCTTTTTTTCTTGTCAAATATACCCAAAATTTATTTAATAAAATAAAATAAAACACTTTATTTTATCCTTTCTTTTTTTTATATATATATTTTTTGTTATTTAGAATTTTCTTTTTTTAAAAAAAATAAAATCCCACTATATATTAATATACATATATAATTAACAACCATAACTGCCCCATTGCAACCACAACCACAACCACAACACAACCACAACCACAACCACAACCAATCACACATTAATACCATAATCACAAACTACCATCAACTAAACTACCATTTAAAAACAAACTAAACAATAATCTCAACCACTATAACTTATTTAACATAATCAATTAATAACCAAAATTAATGATTCTACTCTAGAAATTAGAAATGTATATTTAATTGAACAAGAAGAAGAACAAAACATTTCAAGTAATGTCATTAATGAGGAGGCCCCGTAGACAATCTTGAAGAATGTAATGAAGAATATAAGAATATTCAAATAATTATTATTACCATTAGAAGAGGTGACAACAATTGACCAAGAAATAAAAGAAAAACAAAATTTATTTCAATTGAATTATAAGGAAATAACCAAAGAAGTTTCAACTGTCAAAGAAAAAGAAACTGGAGTGCAGAAAGAATTCATCTCATCAATTGAAGATTTGATTAATTAGATGAATTCTTGATTTAATAAAATTTTGAATTATTAAAACCAATTGTTGATATCAATGAATTTATTATTGATTTAGATTTAATAAATCCTTTAGATGAATCGTTATCAAAATTAGAAAATGAATTAATAATTAAACAAACTGATGAATTTAATAGATTAACTAATGATAATAATAATAATAATAATAATAATAATAAAGATCATGATATTTTAAAATCTTTAAATTTATTGTGGGAAAGTTTTAAACGTTTACTAAAATTATCAAAATCAAAATTGCAGGAAATTAAATTGGACTTCTAATTTATTACAGAAAATACAAGGAATTAGTATTGAAATTGAAAAGGTTGAAGTAATGTTAGAAGGTGTTGAAGAATCAAGGAAAAAAACTCATGATGAATCATCAACTTTTGTAATGCAAATAATAATGGTGGTCTATTAACATCTTCGCCTAATTCAAGTACAACAAATTTCAACAATAACAATAACAACAGTAATGATACTCCTAACACTAACCCTACTGCCACATCATTACACAACACTCCTGTAATAACTAATGCAGCAAGTAAAACTTCATTGACATCTTCTGCATCATCATCATCTTCCATGATTGCTGGTGAAGGAATAACTGTCACCAGTATTGTATTCTCTTCTTCCCTGTTAGATGAATGGTCACAAAAGTAGTTTCTGCTGAGAAATTATTCAAGCATGAAGTATACGAACAAGTTAAAGAACTAATAAACTTCTATCAACATGAAGAAATTCAGGGCTCCGATAAACAAATATTGAAAATCTGATCCAAAATTGTTGCCAAATAATTTATGGAATATTTTACAATTTGAAAATGAATGCTTAAAAGATTTGGAACGTAAATCAAATGATCTCTATTCAATAATCCTAAATCATCAACCCCCTCCAACTCTCCCGATCAGCCTCCCCTATTGCTACCAACACCACTACCACCACAACCTCATCAGTATCATCAACCAACTCCTCAATCATCATTTAAAATTCTCAAGAAGGTTTATTAGTAATAGAATTGATGGAAAAGCAATTAAAAAGTCTAAAGGGAAAATTAACAAAATTAAAAAAATTCATTGATAATATATTATTGCAAACTAATGTTGAAAGCTTTTTAATGATAATCAATATTTTGGAAAATTTACAAAATTTATGTAATGAAATAACTCAAATTCATAAATCAATCATTGAACATAATGATGCTAACATGGTAAAGACGATGTTATAAATGTTGAAAAAAAAAAAATAAAAAATTTTGAAAAGCAATTGCCTTATAAAACAGAATCATCAGAAAATTCTAATGATAATAATAATAATAACAATAATACATCAACTATGACTACTACCACCACCACAGCTAAAAAAAACTAATACTACCTCACCTGGTTTAGTAAAGGCTTTAAAAAATAAACACAAGAAGTTATTATTAACTATACAAAATATTAAGATTGCTTTGGCTGAAAACAAATTACAAATGGCTGCCTTCATCACCTTCATCACCTACTTTTGCCAGCAGTAATGGTAGTAGTAACAGAAATAGTAACACTAATTCTCAGATTAATGAAGCAATGTCATCTGCTGATACAATGACAATTGCAATTACTTTACAAACAATTAAGCAACTTGATATTTTATTGGGATTATTGAAATGAAGATCAAATGATTTAACTGTGTTAGCACTTAGAGTAGATTGGGAATGTGAATTTGCTAAAGCTTTAAATACATGGAATATATTGATAAACAGCATCAAAGATTTTATTATAAACAGAGGTAGATGGAAACAACCAATTGGTATAAGAGATGATGATGGATGGTTCATTAATGCTAATAAACCAAACCAGAAAGATGTGTTAATTGAATTAGAATCAATAAATCAGCATGTAATAAGTTTTGAAAATGACAACATACCTGAACTGGACAAATATTTGATGAATTAGTGGAGACCTCATTAGTGGAGGTGCCTGAACATCTACTTATATGACAAAAAAATCTTGAAGTGACCTGGTATTTTTAAAATTATATTTGATTTTTGTAGAAATGTTTTGCAGCAACATTAAGAAATTTTAGAGTATACTCAAGTCGGCAAAACTACTTATATTGATGGTTTGAAATTAAAAAATGAATTAATAGAAATCCAAGAGGTGGTCTCATAGAAAAGAAATTCATAGTAAGAGTTGAGGAATTTAATAAACATATTGAACAAGCTTGGAGTAATATTGGAGAAAAAGTCATCTACCCAGATCACTCAGATCATGATCAAAATGAAAATCATTTGGTCAAGAAAGGTGTTTATGCTTATCATCGTAAAATGGAAGACTTGAAGTTCAAAGTCAACAAAGCAATGAAAGATTATCAAGATGCTCTTAGACTACTTGAGAAGGAATTACAGCAAAAATCAGATGACTTGTTTAATGACACTTTTAATCAGAACAAAAGGCCTATACTGATGTCTATGAGCGAGTTAAGAATTTAGCAAATGATTTAGTAAACCAAATGAAGAAAGAGATTGCTGCTAACAACAACAACAACAATTGTGATGAAGATATTGATCTTGGTGTTGAAGCATTAAATTCTAAAGGAATGGAAATTGATGCTTTATGGCAAGAATTACAATATAATATCATCTTTGTTGGTGGATGAGGTGAGCGAGGATGACATCAAAGATTGGCAAACTGTATGGGTTGGATGGTTTTATAATATAATATATCCATATTTATTTTTTTGGGCATTTGCATAATCACGGACTTTATTTTTAAAAAAATACATATTCATTATCATATAACATTACCATATATACATATATTTACCTCATACTTACGGAGGATGTAATTATAATATAAATTGAAATAAAACTAATTATATATATTATTAATTATTAATTGATATTTGTTATGTTTGGCTCAATTATACAAGAGTGATTGTACAGTAACAAAAATCAGACAAAGTAGATAAAGTGAACATTATGTTACAAAACCATTCCAGTGGTTAAATTACTAAACACGAATAAAAAAAATTATTGTTTTTAAAACGAATTAATTAATTCTTGATTCTTTGTTCTTTTTATATTAGAATGCTTGGTTGAATTTATATTCATGTTTTTTGGTAACACCCACAGATTGTTCATGGCGGAACATCACATAATTCATGAATGGGCTAGTGAAATCTTTGATTCCATACCATATTAAATAATCAAGTCAGTTTCATGTATGGTTGTTTCCCAAAACTCCACCAAAAATCAATTGGCAGAATTTCGGTAGGTTATACACTAATTGTTTATTAGAGTTTCGCATTTGGGGTATTTGACAATTGATGGAGTTTCGCAGTCATTAAGCAACCTTAGTTTCACGTGATATTTTACTCGCATGACTAAGTTTTCGAATTTTGATTGGCGATTAGTATATGTTACGCGATATGGTGCAAGTCACAACTTTTTTGCGCCACACCGCCAATCAAAAATGCTGTTACGTGAGTCATGTGAATTCTATCCTTATTAGGGTGAGGCGCTGTATTTCCGCGGTTTTCAGAAAAACATTTCCCTGATTTAATAGGATTACTTGAAAGGGTTTCTCTCCACGCGTTTTCGAACAAAGAATAATTCGACTCCTCGATGTCCAATAAAAATATGAACACAATTCTTTAATTAATTATAAGAAACATATGTTGAATACATCAATAAAAACTAATAATCCAAAATATAATCCTTTTGGGTACTGTACTTATTAGCTGTATAAGGTTTACATTACACCTTTAAATTTTGCTAAACGTAAAATCAACTTTATTGGTGCATTTTCCCGACTTGAAAGTTGCTGTATCAAAAAGGTACCTGAAATTGCTTTATCAAATGTAAGTATTGAATATTTGTAATATGTATAAAAATGTAGCATAGTTTATTGGGCAATCAAATCAAAGTCAACTACACACATCTCACAGATATGATAAAACTCGATGTTTATATCAAATGAGTTTCTGTTGTTTTCTTACTAGGAGGGTAAATATCATGTTCATAATTCAAGAGAGTCAATTAACTTTGATATCTAGGGAAATTTCTTATTGGGCTTGAATCGACAATTTTATGTGAAATTTAAAACGTGCCAATATAATTAAGATTGACGCAAACTTAAATTTTACGCATACTTTCTTTTTACTTTAATTGATTTATAATTCGAAAGCAGTGTTTTTAATATTATTTTACTTCTACAGAATGAAAGAGAACCAGCAAAAATGTATTGGACCTTGTTGTCGCAAATAGGTCAAGAACAATTGTAAAAATAGCACAAGAATTGACGGAATAAGAAGAAGAGGACGATAACGAGATATGTTGGTGCGTTTACAACTAACATTTCACCCGAAAAAAAGGCAAGCGCATTTACTTCAAAACTTTGGAACCTAGAATAATTGCATCACAGTAATAACCTACCTATTCAAGTATAGCAGTAATAATACTTTAGTAGTAATGGATAATACTTGATATATCAGTCGTGGGACATGTCACAAAAATTTATTTCTACTGCAATAACATAGTAAATTTTGATGATCGACATTGAATT